TTTGACTTCAAAATTATTTCCCTGATCACTATGTGAATGTTGACTTTCTACTTTGACTGTGAAACATGAACTGTCTCTGCTTTTGACTGTTTTAGATATCACACGTGTGATCAAAAGTTATATGCTTGTATTTATCAGGTTAAACTAATACTCCTATTTTATATATTTTACATGTCCAATGCCAGTGTCCTGATTTGCATCATGGACCATCTATAGCACTGTAATAACATGTAATATGTAGATGGTCTTTCTGTTTCTGTCTTTTTATTGTTTTCTGCTGTCCAAATTTGATAATGTCATAAAACATTGCTTATTGTTATATCAGTGATAAAGCATTACATGCCAGTTACACATGGGAAAATCTGAGCTTCTGATTCTAAACCATGCTAAAACTGATTTTGAAATAAAAATCAGCCTCAAATGTAAGTAACTGATTACTTTCATAATTGAAAAGAGGAAAGAAGAAAAGTAATTGAATTTAGAAAGTACAGAACAGAAAAGAGATTTCTCATCTCTATCTCCCGTGCTACCTTGAATCATGCTGAGCACACAGCGATTGAAATTAGAGTGAGTTAGGAACTTACATGGGTTACTTTATTTAAGCCTCACAATGGCTATTTTATAGATAATGAAACAGACTCAGGAACCCATGCTCTCAACCATTATACCACACTGCCCCCATATTTTTTATTTTAGATATCCAAGAACTACTTCAATTAGCTTTTTGAGTTTTTTAAAGATCAAGTCTTTGAAAATTTATTTTCTTCATTTTTCTCTGCAATTATTGGTTGCTTTATTGAGTTCAAACAGTTTTTCAAGGAGTCATGCCTTCAGACGACTGCAATAAGCAGGTATATTTGACATATAATTCAATCTGACAGTAGCCCTTAATGAATAGCAAAAGATGTTTATAAAATTAATAACAATGACAATTTGTACTGTACTGTATGGAAATTGTGCAGTCTTTAAGGTAGCACAGGACAGTTCCTGGCCCAGAGTGGATACTAAATATTGTATTTGTTGAATAAATGTCAAAAGACTGATAAATAGTAGAACTATGTCATATGTAAATATGTCTTTTGGAAAAAAACGTCAACTTTTAAATATCCTTTACATACAATATCCTATAGTCTGTCAGTGTATACACACACACACACACACAGAGGAAATAGTTAAGTAGATTGATTGATTGATTGATTTTAGATTTATACTGAATGAGATACATGTATATATATCTGATACTGAGTGATATATTCTGATATAAACCTGAATTATTTTCATCTTTCACATATTACCATTTAGATATCAAAGCAATTACTTTTCTTACTGTTATTGTTTCCAATTAGTTAAGAGAGCGTGATTAAGAAAATACAGTTGATCCATTACAGTACTATAAACTAGTGCTATTAGACAACTTGCTGCTGTTCTCATAAAAATTATGCAATTTAAACTGGAAGATACAGGTGCTTGCTTCTATTACAAATAAGAACCCTTTTCTACTTCGTAATATGCTCAATTACCTTTAGATTGATCCATGAATAAATTATAATCCAAATAGACTTCTTTACCTTAAAGCTTTGCTGGCTTAAGGTATCATTGTTGATTCATTATGTTGTCACTTTTCTATCGGCAATGTAATGCTTTTTATATCTGGATAGAGACAGTTTTAGTGTAAGATACTGTTATCTTTAAATGAGTAGGATTTAGCTTTTCTGGTGAGAACAAATTCATCAATGATGAATCCCTGGAGAAACTATTGAAACAAAAATCACACCATTTCTGAGCTTTGTTCAGTTCATCAGTTACAAAGCAGCTTTTGATAGTCCTAAAGAACTTTTTCCTTTGTTTAAGAAATATAGCATGACGCTGAAAACCTCTCACTTTGAGTTACCGCAGGCTACAACTTTTCTGTAAGAAAATAATGAATGAAGAGGAAAAGCTCCTGCTGCTGGCACTGTCAGGTCCTGCTGCTTCTCCTCCTGCAATAGGAAATCAATTAACTATATGTTCAGGCAGAGATTTGAACTAAATGCTTTATTAATCATCACTGATTGCATGCACACACAGTGGCCAACTATGCATTCATCTTCACTCTTTCTTAGCTTTGTTTTGCTTCCTTGCTTGCTTTTCTTTTTCTTTTTAATTTTTCCTTTTTTTTCTTTGCAACATCAGAACACAAATGTATGCCTAAATGTATTATGTATAAAGGTGATTGGGTGATCCTTTGGTGCAGGAGATAATTGATCTTTTTTGTTTTCGGAGAGCTTAACTTTGAAAATGTTTAGTACTCACATATCCTTAGGACTACTTTAATACCTATAACATAATTTTTTTAAAGCACTTAAATTTTCAGACTAATAAGGAAAGCAAAATGTCTGCAGCAGCCTTTAAGTTTTAGAACCTGATACTATACTCTGAGAGCTCCACATAGCAGTGAGAAATTAAACAAAAATGAACCCAATTTGATTTGGAGATGCTTGGTGGAAGGTTGAAGGGGCACTCACTGATATTTGGTATTTTTGTGCTTTGAATTAAAAAAAAATTGGCAAGTTTTCCTTTTAGTCCATTAATTCTTCTAACCAATGCACAAAGAAAATCCTGTAGGAATCTTTATGTTAAATTGAGATTCTCTCTTTAGGACTAATTATAAAACCAATTAGCACATTAGAAACTTAGCATGGTAGCCAGGGGAAGGCTGTATTGTATAATTTATGTATGGCAAATGTGGTCAATCATTGCAAAAAATGACAGAAAATAAATATCAGGCTGTTGGATATTTACACTGGCTATATTATATTCAGCATCAAAAGATTTTCAAGTATTTATTATTATCATTACCGTTGCTGAAACAATTTGAAATCATTATGGTTTAAATTTAACTACATTCATTGTCTCCATTTGGATAAAGAATCATCTAAATGTTTTTAAAAAATACTATCCTCTGATGTATGTTTAAAGGAAGATAGATTAAAAAGTTCCAAGGATGATTTCTTTTGAACGGCCTTTACAAAACTCTTAGGTGAAATTAGATGGTGTTGAGTAAGGTAAAACCCAAACAGGGAACCATGTAAAACCCAACAGGGAAAATAATGATACCAATTTTCATGTAGCCTGCTAACATGAGGCATCTGCTAGAACCAGAGGTCATATGTTTCAACACTTAACCATTCTTGATAGTCTTTGAGTATATTAGATTAGGATTCAGATGCCCTTGATGTCTAAGAGAAGCATGCAGGGGTGACATTCTGAAGATGTATATCACAAGATTTATATCATGTGGACATGCGCTAGCCACCTTATGTGGTGTTATCTGGACCCCAAGGGCATTTCTTTGGCAACAAGTGTAATCCCTAACACCTTATCTGCCCCAAGGAGCCATTTCATAAGAGGACATTTCAAAAAAGCATTGTCTTTCCTATATTAAGGATGCTTATATATGTGATAAGGAGGACTTGTTTTATACTCTTATTTATGCTTTAAGCAAGTCAGTATCACTTGTTTTATAGCAAAATAGATACAAAATATTATCTCCCTCCATCATATCATTTCATATTACTGCAACCATCAAATATTATAATTTAGGAAAGCATTAAGGTGTAGAGATGAAGTACCCAGTTCTAGTCTAATTGTATATAAATTAATTTGGCATTCATAACATTGTTTCTATTTACTTGACTTGTTGACATAAAAATAATGGATTGATAATAGAAGTAACAATCTTAGATAGTTCCACATAAATATGTTCTTTGCTATTATAAATTTACAGTTGCAGTTTGCAGTTCGGCTTAATTGGAACATGGTTTAAGTTTAGCTTACTTACTCTACTGAGATCTCTAGAAGACCAGAGAACTCATTTTCCTGGAGCATTATGCAAGCTGAAATGTGGAGGCCAGTGTTTTGAAACAAGTGTGATTTTTCACCAAAATACTTGCTAGGTCAGAGATCAGGATGACCTTGGAGTGCTGTAGTTTTCCAAACCTCCATCAGCTAGATAAATGGGCTTTATTCTGCAGGGGAGAGAGGGTATTTTTGCAGTCTTATGAAAGAGACCTAGCAATTCCGGATTACAGGACGACACAAAACATTTGGAATTCAGTGATGACTATCACCAGCAGTATGTGTCAGTAAAAGTGAAGATCAAAGGTTCTAGAAGAGGGGAAGGACAAAGTGAAGAGAAAATAATTGTGCGATAATGAATGGTATGAGGGCATTTTCGTGTTAACTGGAAACCACTTAGCATTTTTCCATGACGCCCAGGTATCTTTCTAAATGAACTTTGTAAAGTACAATTGAATAACCTTGAAATTTAAAGCACCGTGATGTGATTTTGAATAGTGATGGAGTTTGTTTAAGCACTATACTATTTCCTCTCCTTTTCATTTCTATTTTTGCCTCCATGCAAAATAAAATTTATTTTCTGTACAGAGAAATCAATATTTTTACCATTTTGTTTTTCAGCCATTCCAGTAAATTGCAATCAACATTAGTTACAATCTTTAAAGAGATATAGTAAGAATTTGAACACAATAAAATAGAGATACAGATGAGAACTTTGGCAAAGTACCTTTGCTATTGACAAAAGCATTTGTCAGGGACTACAACTGTGTCTATATCATGCTAAAAACCTGATGAAGGGGAAAAAAGCATCAATAGGTTTTACCTTCTGTCTATACAAACCAAACAAATGGCTTAAATAATAGCTATTGTTTTCAGTGAATGGGTTTGGTTTGCCATTGTGAACTTTATTCCATTTAGAAATGTATTTTAATTAACATTTGTATATGTAATACATACATATTTGGTAAAAGTATTGTACTGTTGTGTTCTTTTTAATAATTAATGGAACCTGATACCTAAAAGACTAGTGGTCCAAAACAGTGAGTATACAGTATTCAGGAAACAATCCCTAGACACACATTTGTTTGTAGATATTTATATATCTTCTCATTTTTCTCTTCTCTGAGCTAATATAGTTTCTTATTTGTGTGTTTTCCTTTTAGAAACTGCCAAGTTTTGGACCTTATCTTGAACAGCGCAAGAAAATCATAGCAGAAAACAAGATTAGGCTGAAAGAACAAAATGCAGTTTTTTCACCACTTAAGAGAAACTGTTTTATCCCCAAAAGGCCTATTCCGACCGTCAAGGTAAAAATTACGTCAACTACATAAGTATGCCTACTTTCTGGTTAAATATACAAATACAGTTAAATGTTTACTGCTTAAATGTATCACTAATTTTGTTTTAGAAATATAAGATATGCTTAGAAAAATCTGTCTATGGTGAAAACTACATTTTAATTATAAAATAACCCTTATTATTTGCATATTTTATACTTTTTAAAATACTGTCAAGCATTCATTCCGTGGAAATTTTTATATACATTAAATGTGTCAGGAGATAGATATTAAGATGAAATTCCTTGTTTACTTATAGTCATTTAAAAAGTATTTTAATCCATAATTAACTCCAAGAGATATTATATTAATCATGTAGTACAACTCAATTACCAATAAGCACATCAGTATCAATGTGGTACCTAAAAAGTTTTAGGAAAACTTTCTCTGGTTTAACCTCTGGAAAGCCTGGACATTTATTTGGGTCTCAAAGATTATTTTCTGGTAATAAAACCAAAATTATCATTAAGATGGAATTATGTGTATATGCTACCTTTCTTGCTTTTTCCTTAAACTTTTCATTTTGACAGAAATGTAGATTCACATGCAGTTGTAAGAAATAATACAGAGAGGCCCTGTGTACCTTTTATCCAGTTTCACCTATTGCAGCATGTTGCAAAACTACAGTATGATATCACAACCAGCATATTGACACAGGCACACTCTACCAATCCTATTCAAGTTTTTCCAATTTTACTTCTATGTCTGTGTTGTATTTAGTTCTGTACAATTTTTTCAAGTATGTAGGTTCATGTATCCACCACCACAATCAAGATACAAAATAGTCCCATCACTGCTGGGATTCCTCAGGTAGCCCTTCTGTAACCACACCCACTTTTCTCCTGCCCTCCTTCAAGACAGTATTGTTTCAAAGCAGTCATAATGAGAAAACAGGAGGTGTTATTGGATGGCATTTTCTCTGAAATCATCATCATTAAAATGTAGTTTGGAGTTACTGAAATTCATTCTTCTGTATTGGGTGACAATCTACTCCCACGTCTCCATTTTCTGTTTAATATCAGCTGAAAAGCACGCTCTTATGTGCTCTTAAGTAGACCTCAATGAAATTCATCTCTAGCACTCAACTGGAGATTGGAACCCTTAAAACTTCCCTCTATGTATGAAGAAAAAACAAACGTGGCTCATGCTAAAAACAGTGGAGTTTAGACTCAATGTTGCAAAGTTTCAGCAATACAGAGTTCTGAAAGGGAAGAGGGAATGGGTGACCACAAAGCATACCAGCACTGTAATGCCACCATTCTAAACAAAATGAACATTTGGGACTTGTAACAGCATAAAAGCCCCAAATCATCTCTTGATTGTTGTTGTTACATTATTTTTGTGCTACTAAAAGAATGAACTGAACGAACTGAACACTGATAGAATGTGAAGGCCAGAACCTACAGCCCCTGACAAGCCTTTTTTCCCCTATGTGTGGCTATGATTACTATATGATTTGGAGTTAAATAGGAATTCTCCCAGCTTTCTCTCTCTTCTTAATCAATTTGAATTAAATGTAAGATCTCCATCTCTAGGCATCTCTTCCTTAATTGTAAAAATTTCTAAACAAAGATATTAATTATATCTAAAATAAAAGAAGTGCAAGATGATAATGAAAGCATTTTGACCTTTTCTAGCCCTCAAATCTTTCGGGGATTATATATTAAATATTGACAACCTAGACCAAAAACAAAACAGAGCAAACAAAAAACTACTGTGATTGAATGAAAGTGTACAGATATCAATCAAAAAATAGCAACCCAGAACTAAATAAACCAAAGAAATGTGAAAGTCTTGGATGTAGGTAAAGATTTCTAAAGTGACATTGTAGACACCATCTTACCAGCGTCTTAGACTTTATCAGTGTCAACATGTTAATGGGCTGCTGTGGTAGATTTCCACAATGTCTGGTGGATTTTCCACTACCTTGGCTTTCTCCCCAGAATGTCTATACTCATTCCACCTGTTGTCATTTCCAGGCAGATGCTGTGCCCTGTCAGAAAGCAAAATAGTAGCTGGCAGTGGCACGGTTTTGGGAGAAGGGAGCATTTTCATTTTTTATAAATGAAATTATCTCTTCAGAAAATTAGAGATTAAATTTGTTATAACAAATGACTGTATTATAAATATAGAACTTTGTATTTTTGTATTTATATTATATTATAAAATTTTATGTGTGTATATATACATATATATACACGTATACATACACACACAGAAGTTGAAATTTGTGTAATCATCTCTAGTGAAGATTTATTTTGTGATATGTGATTTTGCCCTTTATTTGCTTAGGTTTGCCTTTTCTACCATAAGATTTTATCAATATTTACCCCACCTAGTGCTTTTAGGATTTTAATGTTTGTATTTTACTTGAATTTCTCTAAAATTTGTTTTACTCTAAAATATCAGGTACAGTTATGACTCAATTTTTTAAATTAATGGACCCCATTGTTCCAAGACCTCAATATTTGCATTTTAAAGTGATCCCTTTCATCTCTTAAATTATGATTCAGTGACAAAAGTGTACCTTAAATTGCATCATTTACTTTATATTCAAATTTCAGCCTCTCAAAATGTTCTAAAACTTTTCGAAGACGAATCAAAAATGATTAGACAATTCTAATAAGGATGGTCAATCTCTAGAAAAAGTCTTATGCCATAAGCATTCATCCAATAATAAAAAATTTTTAAATCTTTATAAATGAAAACTTTCTATAACTGAAAACTTTTAATTAAATTCAAAATTCTGGGTGCTAAGCTTCTTACTTAATACCAAAACTAAGATACTCCTTTTACACTTCTACAAAGCCAAGATTCTTTCTTGCCCCATAGTGTTGATTCTTACTTTGAAATATGTTTAATATGATTCCTTTTTCCTTCTGATATTAACCTGAAGGAAGGTGGGCCTTGAGGAGAAAATCCCAGAGTTCAGAGAACAGTGTGTAGCCTCATGTGATGGAAGCTGAGGAACAAGTTGGATAAAGTAGAAGAGGACTGAAAGAACATGATGTTAGTGTCCGTATTCACCTCTCTGCTTCATTCTCTGAATATAATCTTCCTCTTCGATAAATCTAAACTTTTCCTACACAATGGCTCAACTATTCTCCATCCCAGACATCTGTTCTGTAATTCACACTTGTGTCACTATATCTCCTGGTTACCTCCACCTGGATCATCTGAACAAGACGCCCGAGAGCCATCATACTTAGGGCTAAACTGATTCCCATTCCTTCCAAACCTGCTCTTCCTCCTGAGTCCTCTGCCTCAATGAACCCCACGTTACCTAACTCAAAATGCCGCCATTCAGCCTGGATGTCAGCTTATTACTCATCCTATTCACAAGCCAAATGGTTGTTCTTACCTCTCACATCTCCCTCCTTTTACATTCTTTACATACTGCTGAGGCCTCAGTGTGTTGCTTACATATTCTTTCCTGGAATTCTAAAACATTCTATTAACCGTCCTGCTTTCTTTTGTCCTCCTTATCTAATCCAACCTCCAACTATTATGAAGGAGTCTTTTAAAAATTCAGGTATGTTTATCTTAGCCCTGGCTTAAAATTCCCCCATTATACCGTAGTCCTAAGGTAAACTCCTTAGCATAACCTTCAGACCCAACACATTTGAGCTTTTCCTGGCCTAAGAAGCAGCTTCAATGAAATGATGAGAAGTCGAATCCAGGAGGTGATAATTTAAGGAATGAATGAAGACTGAGAAAGTAACAACAAAGTGTGCAAAATATGCATTCAGTAACTTGAGAAAGGTCAGAAGGAAAGGGATAAGAAGACGAATGGAGTAGAGGAAAAGATTGTTTCTTTTATGTGAGAAAGAGCTAGGCTTGCATGTGCTTAACACATGTTGAGGAGAGAATAGCTGAAGCTGCCAGAAAGGGCATGATTAAGGAAACCACATCTTTGGCAAGTAGAGAGGGAAAGGAGTCTACACAATACATTAAGATATCTTGCATAAGAGGGGAGACATGTCATGAACCTAAATTTGGACTTCACAGTGTCATTTTAGTAAGCAGCCATAGTTAAAGAAAGCTACTATAAAATGTCTTCAGAAATGATTGTCCTCATTGAAATACAAAACAAAGTTTGTAAAATTTTAGCAGGTTCTATTTATGGTAAAAGAATTTCCTGAATTAGGCATGGGACTATTCTGTCACACTGCCTGGGTTCAGACTATGGAATTGCCATTTCATAGCTGCATGAACTTGCCTTAGCTAACTAATCTGTGAAATGGAAATAATGAAAGTATCTGCCTCATAGGTTTATAAATTAGATCATGTGTGAAGTGCTTTAGCATGGTGCCTGCACCAAATATGTCCTAAATAAATGTTGCTATTAGCTATAATATTGGAAATGAACAGGTTGAAGAAATCTGCATTAAGATGACTATCCATTTCCATTTCATTCAATAAAATGAATGGAAGAATGAAAATAGAAATACATAAAGCTCTGGAGGCCAACAAAGTTGGAGGATTTGAAGAAGCCTATGTTTTTTAGGAAATCTTTATTGCATACCTACCATGAGATAAGCAATGCACTAGGAATTGAGCATCTGTAGGGCAATAAATAAAACATACACAGATTCTGTCCTCATAAAGCATACAGAATATAGAAAGAGATATTAAAGAATCACACTAACAATATAAAATTATATTTTTGATATAAGCCACATAGAGAAAATACAAGATCTATAGAATCTGTTTCCTCGTGAGACCTAATTTAGATTGAAGGGACTGATGAAAGCCTCCCTGAGGAAGTGAGCTTAAGGAGCCCTATAGACAAGGTAGGGATTAGAAGGGAATGGGGAACTGAGAATATTCCAGGTGTGCCATAATGTGGTCCTTGGATGTGGTAGTTGACCATGATAATGGAAATAGAGATGAAATTAACAAAGCCTTGTTAATTCTTCCTCCGACACTCAGTGATTCTCATTATATTAGGCATAGGTATAGTAAAGAGC